TATAATTGATATCTAAAAAAGGAATTTAAAGCTTTTTATTAAGTATTGAATCTTTCTTATTTGCATGTGCAGTGAAGTGACCAGCATTTTGTGTCGAAAATTGGACTGATGTGAAACCTGCCTTAATGTGTTTATAAGTATTCGGCTTCACCATGGGTACCTTGATTGATTCCTCAGTCTCTTCCAGTACATCTTTGAGCATATTGGGGTAACTTGTGGCTAAAAATGGATTTCTCTGGGAAGGGCAACAAGGAGAGGGGAGGAAGATGAGAGCTGATAGCTTGGGGAATGTGTTGACTGGGTTGCAAAAGTTATTTTAGTCTTAGGGTATCTGTTGTATAATCTGTGCATGGACATCTTGGCTGAGAGAACACTGCAAAGTGGTGGGTTAAATATTGTGCCACAGACCAATTGTACAAGTTGTTGGTATCCCAAAACTTGGGGAAGAAAGTAGCTCCCAGAGCCTTTATTGTGTGAGAAAGATTAGCAGGGACAGCCAGGGGCCAGGGAATTGCCTTTGGGAGTAGTGCAGCTTAGTGATCCCTGAAAAATATCCCATGCCAAAGTGATTGATCTTTTCTTAAGGGTTTGAAAACACAAAATTGGTTGATATTGCTCATTTGAGTACTGCAAGGAGACTGAATTGTACTCTGCTGCCGCTCTGCCAGGTGCTGCTTTGGGGAGCTTTACCTGGCACTGCAGACACCGACCATTATTTTCCTTTCTGAACAGTCTGTTACAGTTACTACTCTGTAAATCTGTCCTCTTGTAAGTCATGGTGTTGAATTAAATGTTTCTCACAAAGAGGAGGTTGTTCTAGTCTGCCTCAAGCCCTTACCTGGAGTTTTGTGCTCTGCCCTTTCCACTTCTCCCAGTGGAGATGCTCTGGGGGTTCTGTTGTGGGCTCCACTCTGAGATTTGGATCTTTACACTGGGGGCCTGGCAGAGGGGAATGTGGAGGGAAACTCGTGGAAAACAGTTCATTCTTGTTGCAGAATCCTCTTGTGCGTCCTGACCAAGGGAGAGGCTCCCAGGGTGTCCCATCTCTTGGTCAGGTTGGTGACAGAGAGTCACAGAATTGTTAAAGTGGGAAAAGATCTTTTAAGATAATAAAGTCCATCCATCAGCCCAGAACCACCATATTCACCACTAAACCTTGTCCCCAAGTGCCACATCCACGCTGCTTTTGAACACTCCCAGGGATGATGACTCCACCACTGCCTTGGACAGCCTGTGCTAGGGCTGGACAGCCCTTTCTGTGGGAAGAAAAAAAATAAAAATCCCTGATATCCAATCTAAACCTCTCCTGTCTCAGCTGGAGTCTATTCTCATATGGCCCTTTGAATCTCAACTCTAGCAGTTCATAACCCACACCAGAAGTGTCCTTGTGACCACAGCAATCTTATTCTGACACTGTCTTTTTGAAATCTTGTTTAAAAGCTGGTGATGTCTTTATCTACTTTTACTTGAAGCTAAACATACCATTGAGGTACCCTAACACAGGTCATTGAGATGTTCATACTCAGATTTTGATGCACTGAATATCAGGTTTAAATCTCTGCCAACTTTCTTGTTCTCCCCCCTGCTTTCCCTGTTCAGCTCTCTTTCCCTCAGTTTACAATGTTTATTCTGTTTTCATTGACACTGAGCAGTTGCTTGTGCAAAGTGCCAAAAAGGGACCAAGAACTCTCACAGCCAAAGAAAGTGAAATTATTTTACCTGCTTACCAATGTAAGGAAATCAAGAGTTCCTGTTCACTGACCATTATGTCTTTTCATGTTGCTGCAATAACAACTGGATTAGTTTGTCTTATCTTAGCCCTGGACATGACTGATGGGCATAAAGTGTCTGCCATCATCAAATCTATCCCCAGGGTGGAGAAAGCAGCTTGTTTGAGGTACAACTTGTTAAGCATATGATTAGTAAATAATGTGCTTAAAAGAAATTGAGTGGAATTGGGGCAAAGCTTATATTTCATTCATTAATATTCTCTTCTGCATAAGATGTTGATGGCTACAGTTTTTCCCTCCCCACTTCATTTTTGAAAGCTTAAAGATTTAAAGGGAATGTCATTATCCTGCTGTTGGGGAGTGTTATTTTTACTGAATTCTAGCTGGATTAAGTTTTGTGCAAGCCATAAAATGAATTGGAATGGATATTGGTGCAGTCTGGATTTGGCCAGCAGAGCTCTTGGAGGTGGTTCTGCTCAGGAAAAGTTGGCTCAATTCACATCTGAAATTGAACTTGCTGAACTGGCTGTTGAGCAAGGAAAGGGAGGAGTTTTCTTGCTTGTAAACTGAGCACACCAGGAAGAGAAGAGTCAGGGATGACATGGCTGGACTCTAGGAATGCAGGCATGTCAAACCCTGCCTGGGGAGGCTCTGATGTCATGGCTGGGAGTTTGGGTTGGAAGGACCTTAAAGCTCCTCCAGTGCCACCCCTGCCATGGCAGGGACACCTTCCACCATCCCAGGCTGCTCCAAGCCCCGTCCAGCCTGGCCTTGGACACTGCCAGGGATCCAGGGGCAGCCACAGCTGCTCTGGGCACCCTGTGCCAGGGCCTGCCCACCCTCCCAGCCAACAATTCCTGCCCAATATCCCACCTAAACACTTGTTTCTGCTCTGTGGGATATGAATGAAGCAGAATACCTGGAAGGACTCCTGAATCACGTTTTTGTCTTGCTTTAAGGAGGGATCATTCTGTCTGGACTGATCATCCTGGTCCTTGGAAAGAGTGTGGGATAATGTGTTTAAAGGGGGAGGAGGCAGGAGAATGCTTAATGGAGGAAAAGGAAGTTTTTTGGTAATAAGTCTCCAATCAGGAAATCCTAGTTATTTGGGATTATGTGCATAAAATCAATCCCCAAGAGTCCAGATGCCTGTGCAAATACTTGGATAATACCACTTCTTCCCTATCACATAAAATGCATATTCCTCGCTGTTGTCACTCTGAACAGGAATTTCAGCATCTGTTGGAATTGCTCCAGACTTTGGGGTCAGTTGAGGATCCTGGTGTTGCCTATTTTACCTTCCTGCATTAATGAAACACAGCCACGGGAAGGTGGTGTCCTAATTCTGCAGCACAGAAAATAATGTCCTCTATGGGCTGTAGTGAGCTAAAAATTTGGATTTGTTCTCAGATTAGCAGGGATCAACTTGAATTAATGAGGGAAAACCTTTCTCCCCCTCCTCCCCAGGCTGATCCCGTGAGTAGCTGGAGTGTAGGAGAGAACAGCACAGAACAGTGTGTGCTAAATGGTATTTACAGTGACAGAACATTTGGGAGGGTGGGGAGAGAAAAACGTTTTGAACTCCAGAATGACCCACCAAATGCACTTGGAATTATCAGGGCATTGCTTAGCAATCTCAATTAGTATTGCTAATTTCTTACCAATATACATAACTACTGCTTGACTAGCTAATAACACTGACTACTAGTAAGAAATAATACTGAACTCCAATGGGAAGGCTTTGAGTCAATTCATTAAATAAGTCTTGGATTGGATTTTTCTTACCTTGCAGAGTCACACACAGCAGTAATTGGAGACTGCACAGAACTGGGCAGTGAGTGAGCTGAGCTGGTTTGTCTTCAGTGGCAAAATTCAGAAATTCTTTGCTAAATAAATCTGGTTTCATTTGCATTTACAAATGACAAGTTTTCTGATACACAGAATCTGAGAATGGTTTGAGTTGAAAGAGACCTTAAAGCCCATCCAGCTCCACCCCCTGCCATGGGCAGGGACACCTTCCACCATCCCAGGCTGCTCCAAGCCCTGTCCAGCCTGGCCTTGGGCACTTCCAGGGATCCAGGGGCAGCCACAGCTGCTCTGGGCACCCTGTGCCAGGGCCTGCCCACCCTCCCAGCCAACAATTCCTTCCCAATATCCCATCCAGCCCTGCCCTCTGGCAGTGGGAGCCATTCCCTGTGTCCTGTCCCTCCAGGCCTTGTCCCCAGTCCCTCTCCAGCTCTCCTGGAGCCCCTTTAGGCCCTGCAAGGGGCTCTGAGCTCTCCCTGGAGCCTTCTCTTCTCCAGGTGAGCACCCCCAGCTCTCCCAGCCTGGCTCCAGAGCAGAGGGGCTCCAGCCCTTGGAGCAGCTCCATGGCCTCCTCTGGACTGGCTCCAGCAGCTCCACGTCCTCCTGATGTTGTTCCCCAGGGCTGGACACAGCGCTCCAGGTGGGGTATAGACCCCAAGCTTGAGCTTTTGGAAAAAGCTGAGCCCTAAAAAGTTCCTCACATGTTTTTGTTTGCAAGATGAGTCCAGTTCCATGTCCTGGATTTGCCTACTGGGCACATTTTCTGGGGTTTAGTGATCTGAAGGGCTGCAAAACCTGAAAGCGTGGTGTACCTGCTTTTATTTGTTCATGCTTTTGTCTGATCCGCAATTAATTCTTAGCTTTCCATCAAGTTGGCTTCTCCACAACTCCAAAGTCATTACCTGACAGCTCAATTCTTCATTCATCTAATGCATGAAAAAGAGCCCTTTGCTAATGGCTTCCCCCAAGGTGCCTCTTTCATGTTGTGCTGGAGGGAGGGAGGCTCTGAAGGTGCCAAGAGTAACAAAAGGCTGCTGGGCCTGAGGCATCACGGTGGGCCCGGCTTTGGGTGACCTCAGCTGGAGCTTGTGCCTCTACTGCAATTGTGGCACAGCACAGTGACATTGAGCCTCGACACCTTGAGCTGTCCCCATATGCTGTTCCCTCAGTCAGCGACTTTGTGGGATGATTGATCTCAGGCTGAGGTCATCTTTCAAGTTCCAGATCTTGTCAATCCGTCTGGCTCCACCCACATGCAGTGATTCAGCTCCTGATGTGCTGAAATATTCCCTTAAGTCTTCCCACACAGAGTAAGGGCTTTTTTGTGATTCTGCTCGGAGCTGCAGCACCTCTTCTGTGCTGTGCTCCAAGCCTGTGCTTTCTGCATGGTATTTGCATGTGCTTGGAGAGCTGCAGAAAGTAGAGACTGACCTCCTGAAAAGTAGAAGAGCAGCTATAATCGCTCTTTAAAACTACTTTTTCCTCTAAATTTTGGATCCCATTTTATAAAATTTGGCTAATGTGCTGTGTTTTAGACAAATTGTAAAATACAGAGAGCAGCCCTGGGGAGAAGGACTTGGGCTGTTGGTGGGTGAGAGGCTCAACCTGCCCCGGCCACGGGCACTGAGCCCAGGAACCCCCCTGTGCTGGGCTGAGCCCCCAGCGTGGGCAGCAGGGGAGGGGGGATTCTGCCCCTCTGCCCCTGTGCTCAGGTGAGACCCCACCTGCAGAGCTGCCCCAGCCCTGGGGAACAACATCAGGAGGACATGGAGCTGCTGGAGCCAGTCCAGAGGAGGCCACGGAGCTGCTCCAAGGGCTGGAGCCCCTCTGCTCTGGAGCCAGGCTGGGAGAGCTGGGGGTGCTCACCTGGAGAAGAGAAGGCTCCAGGGAGAGCTCAGAGCCCCTTGCAGGGCCTAAAGGGGCTCCAGGAGAGCTGGAGAGGGACTGGGGACAAGGCCTGGAGGGACAGGACACAGGGAATGGCTCCCACTGCCAGAGGGCAGGCCTGGATGGGATATTGGGAAGGAATTGTTGGCTGGGAGGGTGGGCAGGCCCTGGCACAGGGTGCCCAGAGCAGCTGTGGCTGCCCCTGGATCCCTGGCAGTGCCCAAGGCCAGGCTGGACAGGGCTTGGAGCAGCCTGGGATGGTTGAAGGTGTCCCTGTCTTCATGGTGTAACAGGGGTGGAGCTGGATGATCTTTAGCGTCCCTTCCAACCCAAATCAGTCTGGGATGATTCTGTGACAAATCTGAGGGTTTTTGTTGGGGAGCAGGAGGGTTCCCCTGTCTGCATTCACTAATCCCATCTTTAGGGGTGGCTCTACAAAGGATGGTCTCTGTTGCAGAATAAATATTCCAGCTTGGATATTGTCACCTCTACCATTGCACTCTTGATCTGGAATGAGCAGCAGTTGGAGTTGTCCCTGAGGGAGTTGGGAGCTGTGGTGGCACTGATGTTCTGCTGAACTCCTGTTGCTTTTTCTGTGTATAGGAAACACCTTAATGGGCTCTGAGACCTGGTGTGCTTTAGTCCACTGTTCTGGAATTCCCTGTCTGTACCTGGGATTCTATTGATCTTTTTGGGGACATCTTTATTCTGTGGATTACAGAACCCAGAATGGTTTGAGTTGGAACAATCATTAAAGCTCATCCAGTTCTACCCCTGCCATGGGCAGAGACCCCTTCCACCATCCCAGGCTGCTCCAACCCCTGTCCAGCCTGGCCTTGGGCACTGCCAGGGATCCAGGGGCAGCCACAGCTGGTGTCAGACACCAAATGGTAACAGGTGGTACAAATATTTGGGAGTGACTTCTGCTGGGAAATGGGGAAGCACATGGACCAATGGGACCCTTTTCTTTCCTCTTGTGTTTAATGAAGTTGGTTCTTCTGCATGGTCATGTTTTGGTAAAGAAATAGACTTGTGCTGAACATCTTCCCTGGTTTGTAGACTCATTTCCTCTGTTAATGGGAGACACAAGTCTCTTTAAGAACTGCTAATTGCTCAGGTTAAAAAAACCCCAAAGGCCACTTGGTGTCATGTGTTGGAATTAAGACTCTCAGAAGAAAGTGTGAGCTAGTTCTTCTGAAAATGGAACAGATCAGAGGCACAACATCTACAAACCAGGTTTGCCAAAGTGCTTAAAATAACAACTGGCAGTTTCCCTGGGTGTTGTTTGACTTGATGTAGAAATTTCCCAGAAGGACTGAGAGAGCAGAGAGACAAAAATGGCAGTTGGGAGTGCAGTTCCTGAGGGGTTTTTGAAAGCCCACGTACAGGACTTGTCAGTGGCTTCAGAGCTGGTGATGTGGTGGCCTGCGGTGGCCAGGAGCGTATTTGGTGTTGGAACTGCAGCAAGGACATCCCTGAGGAGCTGTTCAGGTACCTTTGCAATCCTCTTGGGTTACTCAAGGTTACCTAGTGGAGTTACCAGCGCCAGTGTTGGTCATGCCTGAGTTCCCTCCATAATCTGGGAGCAAAAGGAGCTCAGAGAGGAGGGGTTGTACCTTTCTGTCTCAAGTTATGGAACACCCACTATTTTTAGTTGTTTCAACTTACTATGTTAAATACTTTGGGAAATGAGGGGGCAAAGGGCAGGGGGAATGTCTCAAGCACAGACTTGGATTTCCTGTGTCTGTCCCTGGAGGAGAAACTTCTCAATAGGTGCAAAACCTCATGTCAAAAATGGCATGGAGCTGTGCCAGGGCTTGGGATGGATCTCAGGGCAAGGTTCTTCCCCCCGAGGCTGCTGGCACTGCCCAGGCTCCCCAGGGAATGGGCCCGGCCCCAAGGCTGCCAGAGCTCCAGGAGCGTTTGGACAGCGCTCTCAGGGATGCTCAGGGTGGGCTTGTTGGGGGGTCTGGGCAGGGCCAGGGATCCCTGTGGGTCCATTCCAAGCTGGGATATTCAAGGATTCCATGCAATGATCCTGGAACCTGCCAAGTCTCCGAACAGCTCATGGCATGGAGAAGGCAGGTCTGGAGTGGGAGGATTCCCAGAGTTGTGTTGATGCTGTTGGATCTGTGTGAGCACAGGAATCAGGATGGGTATGGACACATTTCCATGAAATTGAGCTGTTGGGGGGAAAATAGAAGTTGCTCCAGCTTTCTCTGCTACAGCCAGACAGAAGGAAAGGGCTGGTGGGAGTTCACAGCTGAGTCCTCTGGAGAGAAAGCAGGAGAAGAAGAAGAGGCAAAGCAGGAGAAGCAGCTTGTTAACTGTTTTCATTAAACTTTTTAGCATCTGCAAGATGAGCAGTTTAGTTGTCAAGTGAGAGGAGGGGAAAGAATTAAGGGGACAGTTCCTGGTGGCTGTTACCTTGCTGGAAAGATCCCACAGAAGTTTCAGGTGCCCTTTTCAGTGTATCAGGATGTGAAAATCTCTGTCCATAGAACAGTCAGCAGCTTGGAAGTTCAGGGCCCGCCCATGTGGGTTTTTTTGGGGCCATGGAGAAGCAGGAGTTAATGTTTCCTGGGATCTGAAATGGGAACAGAGTGGGTGGATTGAAGGGGGGGTTTCTAGCCCAGGCACTGATGGTTCTTGCAATTAAAAACAATCCCAAGCCAAACGGTTGAATTAATCCCAAAGACAGTGACTGGGAAAGACAATTATGTGTAAATGGAGAAAATTAAACTTGAGTGTCGAGCTGTGGAATGGGAATGTCTGGGTATGTGGGGTCTTGGGTGAGCTGGGAATTGGTCTGTGTTTTTCCTGGGAAGGAGTGTGCCGGGCCAGCACGGCCAGGGAAGGTTGGAGGCAGCTGCTTGGCAGTGAGCCATGGTGGGGGACATCCATGGCAGCAGGGACCTGCTGTGGTGTGGGGAAGGTGACTGGGGTCCCTGGTCTGGGGGTATCCAGGCTGCTGAGGTGTTTGTGGCTCTGCCGGGCAGAACCAGGTGACGCTGCTGCTGAGCATGAGCAGCAAAACTGGGGGGTGGGACTGGATGGTCCCTTCCACCCCAAAGTGCTGTGGGACCCTGTGGAATAACCCTGTGAAACGGAAGCTGAAGATCCAAGGGGAAATCGTGGGGGGAAAGGCGGATTTTTTGTTTTCTTAAGTTTAGTAACTCGGCGAGAAGGAGGAATGCAGCGGTCCCGATGCGGGGCTGTGCCATAGCTCTGTCCCCGAGTGCCTGGAAGGGTCGGGACCGGGAGGAGCTGCCGCGGCTCCGGTTCCTGCGGTGCCGAGCGGTGCCCACTGACCTGCTCGCTCCTCTCTGCCGAGCGATGGTGGCAGCGGTCCCCGGCGCTCCGACTGCCTCCCGCCTCCCTCGCTTTCGGCGGCGTTTTCCAGGCAGCTGAGCCCCGGCTCCGCGATGGGAGCAGCCGTGTCTGAGCTGCGGATGGGGGGAGGGCGGCAGTGCCGTGCGCCGGGGATGCTCGCGGCCCCCGGGGATGCTCAAACCCCTCGGGATGTTCGATACCCGCCCCCCCGCCATGGTCGCGGTCCCCTTCGGATGCCCGGAACTCTCGGGCTGCTCAGAACCATCTGCCATGCTGGAGTGCCCTGCAGTTTTAGGAGACCCTCCGGGGATGCTCGGATCCGTCCTGGGCTGTTCGGAGCTCCCTTGGGGTGATCAGAACGCCCCAGAGATGCTTGGACCCCCCCACGATGCTCGGACCTCTCCCATCCCCCTGCAGTGCTCAGGACCCCCTTCCCCCCACGCTCGGAGCCCCCCGGGGTGCTC